ACACCCCATTTTCCCCCATACGTTCCACTTCGGGTCCCCATCGAAAACCAAAGGAGAACCGGAGGCAAGCTGTGGAACTGTTGAGGAACACGGAGCCCCTCCCCCAACGAGAAGGGTCCCTTCTTCAGCGCCCCGACTGTAAGACCAGGCCCTCTTTCGGCTACACGCAAGAGTGACCCTGGGTAAGAGTGACCTTTGGTGCGCGGCTTTGGGGGGGCCGCGGGGGGACCAAACTCAGGCGCGCGAGACGCTACTATCGCATCGCAATCGGTGATCGGGGGACCCCACTGGGTCCGCACCAAAGGTCACTCCGGCGAAAGGTCACTCTTACGTCTAGTCGACTCTTGCACAGCCCGCGCACGCGCGGAGAGAAAGAGAGAGAGCCCCGGCCCGGGCGGCGGGTCGCGCCCGCACGAGGCCGAGGGCGTGGCCCACGCGGCAGTGCCCGCAGGCGGCGCCGATCTGCGGCGCGGCCCGGGGGGGGGGGTGCGCGGTGTCCCCAGGGGGCCGTAGGCGACTCGAGGGGGAGGAGGAGGAGGAGGAGGAGGAGGAGGAGGAGGAGGAGGAGGAAGAGGAGGAGGATACAGGAGGAGGGGAGGAGGAGGAGAGGAGGAGGAAGGAGGAGGAGGAGAGGAGGAGGAGGACGGAGGAGGAGGAGGAGGAGGGGGAGGAGGGGGGAGGAGGAGGGGGAGGCGGAGCAGGAGGCGGAGGAGGTATGGGTACCTTTTCCTCTTCTGAGCATGGAGACGAAACACCGCACGCGAGGCGAAAGCGCCGCGAGGGGCGCGGGCGTGGAGGCCCCGCGCCCCTGGGAGGCCAGGCGACCACCCCTCGGACCCTGCGAGGGCAGAGGCTCGCAGAAGGTTGGGAAGTTGGGCGTTCAGTCCTGGACCCCTCGCCACGCATCTTGGCCCCTGAAGGCTGCCGAAGAGGCCGCCGAAGACCGCCAGCGAACGCGCGCCCCGCCGCGGGCGCTGGGGCCCGGCGCGGTCTCCGGCGGCCTGCGACGCCGAGCTGCGGCGCGGCCCCGGGGGGGGGCAGGGCAGAGGCTCGCAGAAGAGCCGCATCTCTGAGGACGCAGAAGGCTAGGGAGCATGGTGGGCCCATCTTCCACCACCACCACAATAGGTAGGGGAAGGAGGAGGAGGAGGAGGAGGAGGAGGAAGAGGAGGAGGGGAGGAGGAGAAGGAGGAGAAGGAGGACTTCCTCATCCTTCCTTCTCCCCCGTCCTACATGTGGCAGCGGTGGTGGAAAATTTGCCCATCAAGCGCCTTCCTGGCAAGTCTTTGGGAGAACGATCACGGGCCAACAGGCCAGCAATGGTGGACCCATCTTCCACCACCACTACCATAGGTAGGGGAAGGAGGAGGAGGAGGAGGACGAAGATCTCCTCATCCTCCCTTCTCCCCCGTCCTACATGTGGCAGCGGTGATGGAAAATTTGCCCATCAAGCAAGTCTTTGGGAGAATGATCACGGGCTAGTAAGCCAGATTAAGGAGCCATCTGGTCGGAATGGCAACGGCTAAGCCCAATGCAAGGTGGATGAAGCTGGATTGAGCGGAATTGCGCCGAGGCGGGCTTTTCAAGCGTGCGACCTGCATGAATCGCGAGGAAGTCTCGAGCGACAGCGCGATTCCCAAGTCAATCGTGAGGAAATCCAAAGCGAGAGCGTGACTCCTGAATGTCGAAGGCGCGGCGTTTGAATAAATTGCGAGGAAGTCCCACGCGAGAGCGCGAGTCCTGAATGAATTGTGAGGACGTCCCGCGCAAGAGCGCGATTTGGGACCCGCGTGACTTTCCCTGATAAGAACACTGTGCGAGCCCTGGGGGGAGCATTTCAATTGAAAAACACAATGGTCACCGGAGCGGGGATCAACGCAAATGAGTCTACAGGAGAGAGATTTCAACAAAAACAACAACAACATCAACAACAAGAACAACACCAACACCAACAACAACACCACCAACAACACCAACACCAGCAGCAACAGCAATCACAACAACACCAACACCACCACCACCACCAACAGCAACAACAACAATGACAATTACTAGCACGTGGGGACACTCCGTTCTCACCAGTGCCAGGGTTTTCATAGGAGGCGGGCAATACCCCCACTTTGTGGGGGGGCCGGTTCAAGCTCTACCAAATTTCCAAACGACTCTTCGCCACCACCCACACCCAGCTTCCCGCCCTATGACGTTCGGACACTTCACTTCGTGGCATGCGGACGACCGTGGCTACTATTCAGGGCCCCGCGGCCGACGACGACGGCGTGCGCGCGCGAAGAAAAAACGAATGTGTCCCGCATGGTATTATTTGACAGGGATGATGGCCCTGGCAGGTGCGCAACCGTTGTTGCAGAAGTTCGAAAAAGTTGCTCGCAAAAGCCCGTTTGACAGAAATGTTTAAAAAGTGTTGGGTTTCCTACGAATCCGCAAGAGCGCGCGGGATGAAATTTTGACAATTGTTTTTTGAAAAAACATTGGTTTTTTGATGTTTTTATGTTAAAATTGCTACGAAAACTAATGTTTTGGAAGGATTTCGTCTTGCGCGCGCGAATGTCCACTTTACCTTATTTGTTGCAAGGGATTCTTGAAGTTTGGATATGTTAGAACAAGAAATGTCCACTTTCGCTTATTTTTTGCAATGGAAAACCGATCGTAACAACACAACCGGATCTGGAGGACATCGTTTTACCTGAGACTTCCTCACGAAAATGATGAAAACGTGGCTGCGGCCTAGGCGCGGCGGGGGGGCCATGCACCAGGGGCCCCAACAATAATTATTCTTAAGAAGAAATAATGTTCAACATCAACAAGAATAACAAAAACAAACAGCTTAAGACTGTTTGCTCTTAACGGCGCACGTGCGATTCAACACGTATGTCCCGAAACCCTCGATACTCGCCCTGTTCGTCTTCGACTGTGCCCCCTCTGGGATCTTTCTTATCTGCAACGTGAATGTCATGCGAGGGGAACAGAAGACAGATGGAAGGAAGGGACAATGGAGCACGAGAGAGAGAGTAGCACGAGGGTGGCCAGGAGCAGAAAACACATGCCAAAACCAGACAGGCAGATCGGGCGGGTAGACCTTAACGAGCGGGTCGGGAAGGCGAGCCCAGGAAGCCAGGTCGAACAGGCGGGTTGCTGAAGCGTGCGTCCTGCATGAATCGGGGGGAAATCTCGAACGATGGCGCGATTCACACATAAATCGTAAGGAAATCCACAGCGGGAGCATGTTCCTGAGTGTCGAGGGCGCGGCTTCTGAATGAATTGCAAGATCCCCGCGCGAGAGCGCGATTCTTGTATATAGTGTGAGGAATACCTCGCGAGAGCACGATTTCTGAATACATTATGAGGATGTACCAGGCGGGAGCCGTTGCTGTTCTAGTTCGGGGGCCAGGGCCCAGTTTGGTGGCCCTTCGCTTGCCCTTCCAAAAAAAAGGGAGCGAACTCCAAGAAAAACACTTGACTTGCAACCAAACTAATAGTTACCGGACGGGAAATCAACAACATAAATTCTTTAGAAATGAGAGTTCAACAAAAAAACAACAGCCACCACATGAGCAGAAACAGAAGCATAACCATAAGCATAAACATATACATAAGAACCAACAACAACAGCAGCAGCAAACACAACAGCAGCAGCAACAGCAGCAGCAACAGCAACAACAACAATCATGTTAAAACTGTTCGCTCTTCCCTGCTCGCGTACCACTCAACACGTATATCCCAAACCCTCGATACCCGCCCACTTCGTCTTCGATCGAACCCCCTTTGGGGTGTATCTTTCTTACCTGTAACGTGTGTATTTCGCGCAGCTCATAAGGCAGGGAAAGGGAGGACGGATGGAAGGGAGGGACAAGGAGGAGGAAGGAAGATGGAGCACGAGAGAAAATAGCAGGGGCGCAGTTTGAGCAGGAAGATTTTCCATAGTAAGATCACAGCGAGCCGCGGAAGGCGCACTTCAATTGAAAAGACATCTATGTTAGGCGAACGCGTGAGTCATGCATAATTCGCCAGGAAGTCTCGGGCGAGAGAGCGATTCCTAAGTAAATTGTGAGGAAATCCCAGGCGGGAACGCGATTCCTGAATGGCGAGGGCGTGGCGCCTGAAAAATTGCGAAGTCAGAGGCGAGAGCGCGATCCAAATTGCTACGAAGTCCCAAGCGAGAGCGCGATTCTTCAGTAAATTGCTAGGAAGCATATGGCGGGAGCCGTTGTTGTAGTCTGGGGCCAACAACGCAGTTTGAGGAATTGATGCAAACAAGGTGCGAGCCCCAGGATGGGCACTTCAATTTAAAAACCACATATGTTACTGGAGGGGGTGATCAACAATAACTATTCTTCAGTAGCGAGAACTCATCAACAACAATCATTGTACAAGTGTTCACTATTATCTGCTCGATTGTCATGAAACGTGCATTTCACAAACCCAAGATAGCCGCCCGCTTCGTCTTCGATCGTACCCCCGTTGAGGCGTATATCGTTCCTCTCTGCAGGCTGGTCCCCAGCAAGCGGCGGGGCGGCCGCCGACCGTCGGCCTGGCTAGCGGCAGCGCTGACCGGCAGCGACCCGACCCCTAGAGGGACGGACAGGGGACCGACCACGACGACGACGACGACGACGACGACGACGACGACGACAACGACGACCGGGGGGAGGAGGAGGGGGAGGAGGAGGAGGAGGAGGACAAGGAGGACGAGGACGAGAAAGAGGAAGAGGAGGAGGACGAGGAGGAGGAGGAGAAGGGACGGATGGAGGGGCCGCGAAGGGCGACAGCGGGGCCACGAAAGGCAAGCATATGGGACCACGACGGGCGCGAGAGAGCGGGAGCCACGAAGGGCATACATGTGTGGGGCCGTAAAGGGCGACAGCGGTGCCACGAAGGGCAGTGATGGGGCCACGGAGGCGCCGCCAACCCAAGAGATTCGCGCGGACCTCCAATAGGTTTTGTGCATGACGTTTTTTTCTATTCGAAGTGCGGGCATCCTGTTT